ATATTAACTGTCATTTCGTAAACAGTTTTGTAAAAGCGTTTCATAAACTTTGTGCAAAGAAAGTAAAACGAGAAGAAACAAGATATATGAAGCATGACAGTTAGCAAAGATGAACAATAATTCATAATCAGCAAACTTATAAATGTTCTCAAAGACATAATGTACGTGTTTACTTTGTTTATTTCGTATTTGTTTCGCGATAAGAATGAGCCGTATTTGTATACTTTTCAGCTTTGTATGCCGTTTATTTGTTAAATTTTCAGCTTTTTATGCAAACGCATAAACCTGTGAAAGGCTATTACACCTTTGCTTTAACTTCAAAAAGTGTTTTTGAAAGTGTAATTTGAATTTTGGTATCAAAAATATACACTATATTTATAAAGTATAAAACTTTTTGCCGCCGTTGTCGACTGCAAAATACAGAATAAAATAACATATGAAGTTTAATTTTTCTTTGTCTGTGAAGATTTTGTACTGTTTTAATCGTTCGAAACTTCGATTTTAAACCGTTACTTAATTGCTGGCATGGTATAATGCAGCGGGCAATGTTTACACTAAATTGAACGGGCAATGTTTAGACTAGCTTTATGATTATTTTTGTATCGAATGATGGAAACATTAGCTATAATATACTCGGTAAAATATAATAAGACTGATTTGAGTTTTGTGTCATTTCATAATATAAGTTTAGGTCAGGTTAACTCAGGAAATTGTGTACTTGGTTTAAAATAGCGAGGGGTTGCTGCATGCATGTATTTCTAATATATTATTGTCCATAGTTGCGAGGTTATCAGCATTGTGACATCCCAGGTTCGTGCGTACCGCTACCGTGGGACAACATTCCTTAGCGAGCAATAATATTTCAGTGAATTGCTAGAACATACCTGAGGAACCGCCATAAACTTCAATTCTCAAAGATATGTTCTATATGCAATAGAATCTACAATTGAGATTACAAGAACATCACTTTCACACAATTGAAACTATAATTGTATATGAATCACAAGGCCCTATACTGTATAGTAACAGCATGTATTTTGTGACTTCTATAACAAAAAGAATAAACCGAACAAAATGGAGGCTGTTTTCTTTCATATTCACATAATACCCCAAACCCTGTATATTGGTAAATGGCAATTACATAATAGGAAAGGGAGAAAAATAAATCTATTTTTGATAACACTAGTGTAAAATAAATGACATATGGAACTGTACAGCAAAATAGTGTGTAGGCATAATTCTTGTCATGCCTTCCATCCCCAGATATCATGAAATTATCTTGGTTTTTTAATTTTTAAATTAATCCGTTTAATTTAAAAAGCACAAAAATACCACCAAAATATAGCTGAAGAAAAATACTTTAACCCAATCGCTTCTGTTTTAATCCAGAAATTAATCAATATTGCTGTTAACCTGACACTGCAGCGCAGCTCTAAAAATCATATCAAATTACATGGGATTAAAAACGGAAATATAACTCACCTTTGGAATTTCGTTATTTTCTTCGTTAATTTTATCCTGTCGTTTTTTAACTGTTACATGTAAACTGTAAAGGCTTTAGTTATCTTTTCTGATAGTTTTTAAGTCAGGATGGGCAGAAAAACTCGAAAAATATAGCTTTTTTTATTTGTTATTGTGTATAGCGAGGCGTTGCTCAGCCGCACGCACATGTGGTTGTCACGTGAGGTTAGAGGTATCAAAAACGTAACGTTGCCTACCCCGTGGGGGTAAAATAAGCCCGGTAATCGATTTCCGGGGTAAAATTATCCCTAGAAGTCATAATTGTCAAATTTTCGCCAATATGGTGATAATTATATGCACATTTTCCAGTTTCCATTTGTAAACACGTTTGTTGGAAATATCACTACAAATCGCCAAAGCGACTGTATTTCAAGTAAAATAGATGAAAATATTGATCCCAATGTATACTAGAAATATTTGGAGGTTTTTAGGCGAGATTTTTGGAAGGCTTTGCGTATTTTCGCTTCTCTAAAATTCAACTTTAAAAAGTACAAGTTCGGCAATAAATATCTTGGCTTATAGGAAAGCTTTTGAAATGAACTAAATTTATACAAATAGGTAAATGTTTTTTCTTTGAGATAACACAATTTCTGGTTGATTTGATAAAATACTTCCAGATAAAATCGAAATTATCTGTGTGCGCCGTTTACGAGCAGACAGCAATGAGTTTAGTGGTCTCATATTTATTAAAATGGGTGAAGTATTCGCACAGTAATCACAAGTTTAAATCAGCTTACCACTTTGAAATATCCTCTGATCGGACGTCTAACTGAGAGGATCCCTCAAGTGCCGCATCCTGTCCTGTTTGAGAAGTTACGAGAACTTCGTCTTGGGTATTGGTTACTCCTTACTCTGTTGGAAGTTCCATTCTGTTGTATGAGGACAACACTTGTAGTTGGTGTGGTGAAAGGATGCAGATTGTCCGTTGGATGTTGTGCTTTTGTATTAGAGACGGACCACATTAGATATCAGCGCAAAATTGACACATTCATGGGAATCGAACCCAATCTCCTAAAAAGGAGTATCCAAAATGTGTTCTTTGTGTGGCCAGGAAAAAGCGAGAGCTACAGGGCAACTCGCAAACCGACTGGCAGACAATACGAACGTACAACACAAAACACACAACCGACGACACAACATCCAACAACCCACAACCCACTAACTCTGTAGCTGAAACGACAAAAAATATGGTGAGTTGTTCCTAGAAAAGCAAGCATTCACAATTAGCTTGAAGGCAATTGTGGCTAGGGTTTAACTGACGGCATGGGTTTGGGGTGGCTTCTTAGGGTTGGATACTGAAACTAAACTACGATCGTCTTTGTCTGAAAAACACAAAAAAAAGTATTAGTAGCTCCCTAGAAAACGAAGAGCAAAACACAGTTAGACAAGCAGTGAGCCGTGTTTCCAGATACGGGGACAGAGATTCTTAGCTAACAGAGTGGCCACGGGGATCTACTTCTATTAAAAAAATAATTACACATACCTTGATCCTACCTAAAAGAAAGAACTCACTCACCTGAAGAAAACGGTTGCAGACGGCTCTGTTTTATAGCCTGTAGGCTCTTGCATAATTCAGCAAAATTAAGACAACTTGATTGGTTATTTCTGTGCACAGGTCAATTTGTCATTGGTCAATTTTTGTACTCCACGATTGGTTCAATAAAAACCAATCAGATTGGTTAATCTATATTCAAATTTTTATCCCGTTTCTGTGATATTTGCAAGGTGATTGCACAACAAATGTTCGATTTCACACACGTTTTGGAGCATATTCCAAGCCAATGTATCACAGTATGTGTGTATTTGTTCGATTATTTCTCTGATGAAGTTCACAAAAAATTACAGTTCAATCATTATTAAAAGGCTTTATTTTCCCACTAGCTTCAGAACCCCATCGAGCAGGAAAGTCGGAATTTAAAAGGCAAGTAAATCTTTCAAACTGTTGTAGCATTTGAATTATGTGGTACATTAAACTACTGAACCTTTCAGAATATTGTCGAATTGGGCATGGCATGGAATAATAGTAAATATAAAAACTGACAAAATCGCAAATGTAGTAAATTTCAAGGCTAAATATCGCAAATTCCAGTGGAAATATGGCGTTTTACCGCCATGCATACATAGCTATTCACAGGTATGTTATTCACGCGTTTTATATATTCAATATTACACATCAAAGCGGCCTAATCCTTAGGATATTGCCCAAAATGCAAACGAAAACCGGTTGCAGTGGTTTAGATCAAATATTCAGTACTATTTTGATATATTTAGCGTCAAAATCGAGCCTTTAGAAGATTTTTGCCGATTTTTTATATAAACATACCTGATGATATGAATTATCGCATCACCGGCAATAATATTTCATTATAATAAAAATATGGAAAACAAATTCGGGCAAAAAGCCGAAATTCTGACCTAGTTCCTATTCGAGTTTGTCTTAAGCACGTGCTTACCAACGATTATCGCTTAGCACTTATGAAATGCTATTTCTTCGATTCTTTTGCACATCCTAGCCCAAGAATTACTCAGAATTACAACAGATTGATAACATGTAAAATTGGGACGATTCGAAGACAACAGAGTACCAAAAAAGCAAAAAGATATGGAATTTCTAAAATATATCTTGCTATGGGTGAGTAATTTGAGATAACAAAGCAACCTATTATTTTGATTATTGTTTTTACTTATAATACAATGCAGGTTATAACTATATGCTGGTTGGAATATACTATTCAAACAATCGTTTCAACTGCTATCGTTTAGTGGTATTCCGGGGTCTTTAGTCCAAATATTTCTGAGATATTTAATGTCTTGCTTCTGTGCAACATTATTGTCGGGAGTAATAGCCTATTTTGCTGTACAGTTCCATTTATCATTCATTTTACACTAGTGTTATATAAAATATAATTTTTTTATTCTCTCTTTCCTATTATGTAATTGCAGAACGAATATTCAATATATTAGTGTACCACATAAAAACTCATTATAACAATCGCTATCGGACGTCTATTGCATCGGAGATACGACTTCGAAGTTAAATTCAAAAGACTGCTCCCAACATAGCTATTTGGAAAAGTTTACTAAACTTTCGCCAACGCCTCAAGTTGTCATACCACTGTTAGAATTTCTTCCTGGTATGTTTCTTAAAGTTTCGTAAATTAAGAAATCTTTTGCGAAATATCAATGTACCCCCTAAAGAGAGGATTCTTATTGAGCAATTTTGCCGCTAACCATAGTTGATCGCCTTTTTGTACAATCAGCTGTGTTAAAAATCTCGTATTTCTGTTTACCAGATGATGGAGATTTGGATAAACAGGAAATCGCATACATAAAAGGTATATGTATAGCTTTCGGTTGCCAGTCATGATATCAGGATTGAAACCGCACATCAAAATGGGCCTCTTGTAAATATAATCAATAAAAATATACCTGGAACGTGTAGTAGGTGAAGCCACGAATGGAAATTGAGGAATACTAAAATGGTGGCTAGGAATATTTTTGTATACCTCTTCTCAGCTGTACGCAGTTCAGCGGACAGCTAGTGATTTGCATCGGTTATCAAGCCAATCAGATTACGGCTAGTTCATTTATAATACCCAGCCTCCTCTTTTTGACGTGATTTGCTAGCCTGATTTCGTATTATAATTGGGTCAATTTTGTTTATTTTCCAGACTTGGTCTTGAAGCTAGAGGAAGAATTGCATACTGTAACATCTTCATCGTCCAAATAATTACACATCCCGGCAGGTGCAGTATACAATTTATTTGAAAACATTGTTGAAACAAGCATTATATGACTGCAGCCTCGTTAGAAATGCCTTAACTTTTGCAGTCTTTTGTCTTTTTGTCACCCAGTTACATTTTCGAACTTCTGGTCAAAGTACGAAATCACTCGAGAAAGTGATTTCATTGTCCGTTGCAAGTGAGTTGATGAAGTTGTTTCCGAGCTTGTTTCAACATTTCATTTGTTAAATTTGGATGTGCAAAGGATTTTAGGCGATTATTGAGTTGGAGCAAGCTCTGCATGATTCAATATGCCAGTATTGCAGCAAAATATTGTTAAAACTGGGAAATGAAATGCATACATTATTTAAGCAAATCTTCTTCAATGTAGATCAAATTGGTGGTGCAATACAAAGACAGTTTGCAGACGCCTTGAAAGTACGTATACAGTAGTCTTTGACATGATAGAAGACTTTGTGGTAGAAATTTGGGGAAAGGGCTCGTATGTTGATATTTTTTGACGTTCATTGCTGTAATAGCTTTCTTGTAACTCCACTTATCTACATGTCTTCAAACAGTCGTTAACCTGGTTTCCTTTGTGTCGTAATTGTTGTAAACAATCATTTTCGTAAACAATCATTTTCACGGATAATTTAATCTAGTCCAATCTTTCCACATTATTGCATCCCAGGTAGTTTTTCAGAACGGCGATGCATTAGGGTCGAGCGAAAAGAAAGATGTGCAACAAGCTGGCACATTTACGGTGCAATCATCTCAACCTGTGTGTATTAAAAGTAAACTCTGCATGGCAGGTAGTTAATGAAAAATGAGACAATTCATGTATTGCTGTAGCTAAATTAAGTTTCGTGTTTTTTAGGTTCATGTTCAACAGCCAGCGAATGACGGTTGGAAGAGGAAGCAACTTGATGTTTGGTCAACCAGCAAAGCAGCTGGTGACGACAAAGGTGATCAATTACGTCCACCATACCATTAAGCTACAAGATGATCTTTTGTATAGTCATTTTTTAATAACGGTGATTGATTTAGGAAACCTATAACGGCTCTTCATTACTTTTTGACGCTCTTAAGAAGTTCTACTGTATAATTCTACAACAAATCTGAGGAATTACAAACTGATTTCATATTCTAATTGGGAAACTCGTATTTTAGGCTATTCTCTGCTAGTTGGGCTATTCCCTATAGTTATGCTGATCGGATTCATATCTTTACAATTACGTGTGGCTCCAGGAAATCTGATCAGAACTTTTCATGCTACAGCGATATACCAGTGGAACTTCAAAATCTACATGTCATTAAGAAACATCAGATATTTGTTGGAATCCTCAAAAGTTCTAAACTCTTCGTACAAAAACAGGTAGAAATTTTTTTAATATATATTTTGAAAGAAGAGTATCTAACCCCTCATCGTTTCTGGATTACTACTACTTTTAAGCGGTGTACATGCAATAATACCACTACACTATCAGTGGCAATTCTAAGGGCGTCCCCTTTTCCACAGGAACAACGTGAACTACTTGACAAAAATGGGGATTGCAATAGGTAAGTTAAAAAAATTAAATCGTAGGAAAATGTCTGGTTTCATGTTACCTTTTAATATAAAATTTGCCCAGGTTCGTCCAGATGAATTGTTCGTCTCCTGTATAAATACAGCTAATGTGATTTTTATACAGATTAATCTTACTGGACCTTTTGATGGTGCTTCCTTAGGTCGAAATTCTAAATCGGTTAGGGTTTTGTGTGTTGTTAAAACTGATATAGGAACGATATTTCATATCCTAGTCCGTTACGTTAATTCACAATGATTATCCTTTGTTTTGTAAGAGTTTTGGTCTATGGAACCGAGTTGAGACACAAAAAACTATTTTTGTTGAGCCACGACGAAAAAACGAATTTACAGAGGTTAGTTCTATTGCCATCCAGCGAAATCTTAAGACTAGACTTTTTAACAAATGAATATATAGTTAAACAGTTCATCTGTACGTTTTTACGAGGACGAAAAACGGATCATTTTGATCAGGAGGTTATGTTCAACTAAATAACTCGCAATGAACAAGCTGATTGAGGTTTGTCAAAGGATTTATGGTCTGTTTTAGGCAATGGAAGGATTTTATGAAAACGTTCGCAACCCAGAGAACAAGGGTGCTGTTTCTTGTCGTTTGCCAAAGAAAGGTATGGTGTCTACTGTATTTTTTCGACGTATTAATACCAAAGTCTTTAAACACATACATTTAAGACGGCTTGTCAAGTTTAAACCTTGTATAGTAATAAGCTTGTTGGCGAATCTGCTGAAAACCTGTCAGATTTGGTGGAAATAGGTAATAATTTCATGTCCAGTGTCCGCGAATATAATCCTTGATTCAAATCTTTTAGTATAAGCAATTAGGTCAGGGTTAGGGTGAGGTTTAGAATTAAAAGTTAGGAATAATTTCGTGCATCCTGGACATGAAACAAGCTATGGACATGAAACTATGATCGAAACATACAAGTCAAACACATCCTGATAACAGATCGTCAAAAAAATTGATACGAGCCTCGGTGTTTTACAAGAAACTCCTGTGTTTCTCACGTTTAGGTCAGCAAAACCGGGAAACGAAGATTTAACTGTTGAAATTGACGTTTTCTATTGATTTTTGTTTGAGACCGAAAGTATGTGTGCCAGGATCAGGTGACCAGCTGTGCATTCACCCCAGGTTCTTGAACAAGAAACACACACGGCCAAGGCAAGTGTAAATGACTTCATTGACCGTTGGTAAATAGGCTTGTAGCTCAAATTCTACATACCATGTACCCATTTTCTTACACGGTCGATACACTGAATAATTTACTATCTACTGTATAGGTGCACAGGTTGTATAACCACCCTCGCGATATTTTGCCCTTAAAATAAGGTAGTAATCCCCACAGTTCATGAAAGTTCTCTTGACTATTTTCAGAGGCATTTGTGCCGTACAAAGGTGTTATCATGCAAAGACGTGTCATTACTATAATTTGCTGCAACAAGGTACTACCACTAAGAGATGTTTATATTGGGCTATTCGGCCATTGCCATTGGCGTATACAGTATCGTCAGATATTGTTTGGTATTCACTATATTAAATATACACACTAAATTTAGGCTCAACTCAACATATATATGCTCATGCTGATCGGATTCATATCTTTACAATTACGTGTAACTGCAGGAAATTTAATCGGAACTTATTTCATCCTACAGCGATATACCAGTGGAACTTCAAAATCCACATGTCATCAAGAAACATCAGATGTTTGTTTGAATCCTCAAAACAGTACCCGACTCCGTAGTTTTAAATTCTTCGTACGAAAACAAGTAGAAATTTTGTAATATATTTTGAAAGGAGAGTCTCTAACCCCTCTTCTTTTCTGGATTACTACTATTTTTAAGCGGTGTACATGCTATAATACCACTACACTATCAGTGGCAATTCTAAGGGCGTCCCCTTTTCCACAGGAACAACGTGAACTACTTGACAAGCCTGGGTATTGCAATGGGTAAGTTACAGAAAAATAAAATCGGGGAAAAATGTCTGGTTTCATATTATCTTTTATTATAAAATTTTTAATATCTTGAAGTTAATTCTTAAAGAAAATTGTACTACGAGGATGGTTGCTTTCGGATTTTGCGGGAAAATTTAGATAGTTCGATCCTGCGATTTCATGAGTCAAATTTCGCCAGTGTAATATAGTACAAATCAACATAGAAATTCGTATCGTCAATATCGTCAATTAAAGAAACAATAGGGTGAAATGTCAGTATTTTCAAACAGCTTTTGGAAATCAACAGGCAAAAAAACACGTGCTTTATATGTAACAAGACGCCTACTAGGCGTTATATGATCGCGTCGTTCACAGCGGCGTAGCCAACCTCGTACCCAGGGTCTTTACTCTACTCGTGGGGAGAAAAGACCCTGGTTGGGGCTGGTCACGTGAGCAATTAAAATTATATCGCCACAGGGGGTGTGGCAGAGTGTCGTATTACATGCTTACACTTGTAGCGTTCTTTCATTCGAAATCGCTATTATGTTCTTGCTTCGACCATATCGCTGTTTTGTTAACAAACGAGTTATTCTTAATCCAAAGCATGTTTTTTTGTCTGGAAAGTGCCTATTTAGAGAAGAATGTAATGTCTGCATTGAGAAGGGATATACAAAGTCCGTAAATTTTCATCTACTGCCCATGTTGGTGTTCGCGAAATACAAGTTGCGCGACAAATAATATGCTAATGCTTTCTGGAGAGAAGTATTAAAATTGTCCTGTAACATCATTTCTATTGTCGTTTCGCCCTTAAATTAAACTATTTAATGAAAGACCAATATCTGGCCTTAACATGAGCAGAATCCAAGCGTGTGATAGTTGAAGAGAAATTGCATAGTTTACTGGTATATTACCGTATATAAAACTGTGCGTTTTATATTAAATATAACCCTGTTGCACCCAAGTTTACTTTTACAGTTTATTAATGCCATAAAATTTTTAATTTTTATGCTAAATAATTGCAGTTTGCTTTTAATAAATCAAAAATAATCATCAGTAAACTAGTTAAGATTATAGTCCAACTATACTATGGCTGGACTTCCACACCACCACTAGTTAAATGCTTGTGTGTTAAAAGCAGACAAAAAATTAGAATGCTGTTCAACAAACTTAAAAATTTCAACTTGATACACTGACACATTAACAAATGAACTTTATTTTCATTTTAATATTGTGGAGCATTTTAATTTGATTTTCTAGTTCACAATTAAGGTAGTTTTGCAGTAAAGACACAAACTGTGTACCATTTTATACAGATTTAAACTTGAGTAAATATACTATTCTAAATAGGAAAAGCATTAGAAGTTAGAACCAAAACAATAAACATGACAAAAGAAAATATATTTATGCTAAACAATCAATTTTGACACCAGGCTATTTGTAGTGCACAATTCCATGTCCCACAAACCTCTTAGATGAAGCAAGAAATCCTAAAGCAACTTTGTTCATGTGAAGATAAATGTAAATGTTTACAGCAGACATTGTAGAGTTTGCTGTAGAACAAGCGTGTTGATAATTTGAGACAGAAAACAACCCTGCAGTGTTAAGATTGATATACAGGCTTCAAACTTCCAAGGGCATGCAGAAATTGTTATGTGCTTTTAACAATATATTTTATTTTCTTTATTTAAGTTAATTATGTTTGCACATCACATATACATTGTGTTTTAAAAGAAGGGACCTTATTGGCTATTAGTTTAAACATAGTTGTGATAAACTCTTGTGCTTGACAACATTTTATTAGTTTGGAAACATCTTGTTTTCTTTATACACCCTCAGGCATTTAAATTCTAACAAATAAATCCTTTTCAATAACTCGCAGTTTTTTTTTGTTCACTATGTTTTTTGGAATGTTTAAACGTTTCCATCTTATGTGCATATGTAGGAATAGTTCTATCTACATAAATAAACATAAATATTTTTAATAAGCAATAAATGAACAGTCCTCAAGAAAATGATCCTAATATTAGTGAGGTTGCTTGCGTTGAAAATGTTTTTCCATGCAATGTTATATTTTATATTTCTGAATCTTCGTCAGCTAATTCACCTGCTAAGGTATAGTGTATAAGAATGTTTTCTTGTGTCAGTTGATCCATCTGGTGGCCAACTCTTCCAACACCTCTGACATCCATCATATGTCCTTGTGTTGTCCCCCAAACAGATGGCTCAGTTCTTCTGGCAACCTCAAGTTTTTTGTTTGCCATATCCAATACTTGTGCAGTCTATAAAAAAGTAATATATCATTCATACTATTTAGACAAATCACAGTTTTTTGATTATGTATCAATTTTTGAAACACTGCAATATCCTGAACCAAACCATGGTTCATATTCATATTATGAAACATGAATCTGATTAAAATGCATAATTTATTTAAGTCTATCATGACTCATTATCAACGCAGAATATTCTGTAAGAAACAACATAGTTAAATTTTAATAAATTTACTTACGTGCAATTCCGATTTCGAACTAGGCGACTGATCGCCGGCAGTGGCAATATTGAAATCTATGCTTCGCTCGAGCCTTGGCTGACGGTTTTGCCACAGAAGGTGAAATTTCGACACAACGTTTAATACGTGTATCTTCTTGTAATGATCGCCGTGTTTCGGTAACAATATTCTTGAACTGAATAAAGTTTAATCTCCAAACCAAATGTGGAAGGTTGTTTATGTCTTGTCGCAACTCGTTGCCATAAACGACCTCCGCGTCTCTTAAAATGGTCTTATTCCTTTCATGAAAGAGATTTTTACTTTGCCCTGGATCAGCGACACAGTTACAACGTCTACAGCGAGAAATAGCTGTCGATTCCCAGTCATTCCCTTCGTTTTGTGTAGAGTTTCTTCGGCGGTCGAGACCCGAGATCGATTGAGTGAAATTTGACCGGATTCACCGGAATTTTTGACTTGTGTAATTTAATATTACTACATGTGTGATGCGTTTGACAACAGGATGTATTTAATTTCAATCCAAGATTTATATAAGTTCATATTAGCGAAAAAGAAATCCAAACTTTTGCGAATTCTGTATAATCAAAACAAAATGATGGCCAATCTAAATTTCAATTTTCAATACAACTCCTCTGTCACCCCTCCCAGATAAGAATTTAAATTTACCACGCGAAATCCGCGTGACACGTGACCAGCCCCAACCAGGGTCTTTTCTCCCCACGAGTAGAGTAAAGACCCTGGGTACGAGGTTGCGGCGTAGCCAGCCCAGCTATGCAAATTTTGTGTCGTAAATGTTCTTAATAATAAAAATGAACAATATACCGAACTATAGTCGCATGTTGAAAGCAGGAGAAACACAAAACAGCCCATTTCGAAACTGCTTGAAATCCTTTAGTGCAGGCTTACTCTGCTCGGCGTGTGCAGTTAGTTGTATGTGTAATGAGTGTAAAGATAAACATAACACTTGCTAGCATTTTGATGGCTTTATTGATTCTACTTTACTGCTTCGAAGTTCGAAGGTGAAACGAAATATGCCCAAAGTGAATACAACACGTGATATAACTAGCAACTTACCTGTGCGCAGGTTCCCGATTAGGGTGATATGGCCTGCAGCTAGCGACGCTGGGGGTCGACCCGAGAGGAAAACAAAAAAAAACAAAACAAGCCGAAACTATAGATCGCTGTCGCTACGCGACGCGATCAACAAGACGCCTACTAGGCGTTATATGATCGCGTCGTTCACAGCGGCGTAGCCAGCCCAGGTATGCAAATTTTGTGTCGTAAATGTTCTTAATAATAAAAATGAACAATATACCGAACTATAGTCGCATGTTGAAAGCAGGAGAAACACAAAACAGCCCATTTCGAAACTGCTTGAAATCCTTTAGTGCAGGCTTACTCTGCTCGGCGTGTGCAGTTAGTTGTATGTGTAATGAGTGTAAAGATAAAGATAACACTTGCTAGCATTTTGATCGCTTTATTGATTCTACTTTACTGCTTCGAAGTTCGAAGGTGAAACGAAATATGCCCAAAGTGAATACAACACGTGCAGGCGATTCGCCAGAATGTATCTATTATAATAACTATGAGATTAGTTTCAGGCGGCAGTTGTTATAGTCGGCAGGTGACTAATCCCGGCCAATCTCGTCGCTTGCATGCCAACAGTACCGGAAATACGTACAATGTAAACACGCTATGTACTCCACGTGCTTCTCGTGCGCATATTTATTTTGAAATACACTTATTTTTTATGAAATAGACACGGAAATTAGTTGTTTCAATAAACAATACAGTATTTACGAAGTACCCTTAAGTTACAATTCTCCTTACATCGTCGTCTGCTGAAGTTACAAAGTTGTTCTTATAAACACCGGTCTTTACTTTGAAATTATTCGACTGATTTTAGCGCACATTTTAAATCATCAATGTCGTTTAGCGAAAATCAAAAAGCAACTCTTTTAACTTATTTTGATAACGGTATGGTTGGTGTTGGGAAGAAGTTTGAAAGCCAGATTGCTGCTGCGTCGGCAGAAACTAGTTTAACTGAAAAGCAAGTGAAGGTTTGTGTAAGCCAATTCAGGTCATAAATATTCATGTTACTGCCAAACATATAAATTAATGCATGTTATGATATGCATATATTCATACAAATAAAGGTATGACTATTTTATACATATTCATACTATATGCAGTTTATAGACATGAAATAAAGCACTAAAGCATTATATAAGTCATAACTTGCTAATAATGAATGCACTGTCAGTATAAAAATTAAAAAATAATGTATTGTCATTACTCACTCAGTAATCAATTAATTTTTTTGTGTGAATTTAATTAATTTACAGAACTGGATTGCCAAACAGCCTCATAGAAGAAAAGGAAAGGCTGCAGATAAAGTTCACAGGGTCAAATCTTCTGAGGCAATAAAATATGCACATTCTACTGTTCCCCGAAAAGATCGCACAAAATGTGGATGGAACATATTTCAGAAAGAGTATGCTACCACTGAGGGTGTGTATTATGCAGTATATCAATATATATTAGTTGATCATTACATGTAGCTATTTCTAGGGTATATGTGAATGGTCATATTTCTCTCAAGTATAATTGGTATGTATTATTATGACAATCCATGTATACCTGGTGTTAGGTAGATGTATATATATCTAAACCAGTATCTCATGCCTAACTAATCTCTGCTGATCGACAGTGCACACTTTTTTCACTTGTTGACATTGATAATTATATATATATATATATATATATATATATATATATATATATATATATATATATATATAATTATATATAGACCAGTATCATAAAAGATTATTGATCTAATAAATTAATGTTGTTTTTGGAATACAATTTTTAGAGGGTAAAAATACCTTAAAAGAATGTGAATTACCTAATTTCAACAAGAAAGCAGCAGCTAAATTTAGGGAAATGCCTGCAGAAGAAAAAGCCAGATATAATCAGTTGGCGGCAGAAGAGGAAAGTACAAATCTTACAGAGCTGCAGAAAACCCATAAAATAAGCAATATTTTTACAAAACTACGCAATAATACGGTAAATGCAAGATTATATAAAAGTTCGCAATAATTCATTAGTATTTTTTATAAACTATAATACATGATTTAATTATCTATATATAATATCATGCATAACTGCTCTATATGCATCTCTTTATATGCCATGCATAACTGCTCTATATGCATCTCTTTATCATTGAATCAATAATAATTGTACAATGATACTGAATGGTATAATATTCTACACCTATTAATTGCAGGTTTCACATTCAATTTATAAATTAATTTTATTTTATTTGCAAGATACTGGAAGATTATGGATGTCACACATTAGTTATTGGTTTCAGAAAGGATAAATATTATATTGCTGAATCTGATTCCATCACCAATAAATTGAGTGATAGAACGATACAACAACTTTACTCTTCTTTATTCAATAACAATGGTAATGACTGTATGATATACGTGTTATGCTTAATTAAGGAAAGAATGCGTGCGTCTTGGTTCTCAATGACCTCGCTAATTAATCTTTTTTGTTATGTTCAGAAGAAAATACTAGGAAGTTTGCTCAAGATAATCAGCTGAGAAAGGATGTACAAGATCTTTTCAACACAAAATATTGTAAGTCACTGATCAACCACCCCTCACTTATAACGATCTTCCAAGGTCACTGAAATCTTATATGCACTATTTATTCATACAGCTGAAGCTACAGGGGAAGACACACCGTTCCCATACAAAAGAAAGCATGAATTCGAAGTTGATGGTTTGCCTTCGGAGATTCCATTCCGAAAACCAAGCGGCTATGGCGTTGGTCAATTGAAAAAAATACTGGAGTCAAGAGACCACATCGGATTCCGCATAAAACAAACAACGTGCAGGGAAAGAGAAACTGCCCCTCGTAGTTTGCTGCCAGCTGCCGCATCCACTGCAAGTGTTGCATTGACATCTTCGTCTTCGCTCTTCACCCATCACTCGCCAATCTCCTCAATAAGCGATCTTGATGTACCTACGGTCACTTCTTTAACCTCAATGACAATGTGCACCACTTCAACTGTTTCATTGCCATCAGGTTTGTGTTCTTCCATTTCTTTAAGCTCAAATTCTTCCCCTTCTAAAAGGTTTGCGCCGACTCATCTTTCTTTTTCTCATCGACTACAGCCTCTTCTTCTCCTTCGACAATAGTCGTATCTTCGCATGTTTCTCAAGATCAGCTAGCTGGTGCAGAAGATCATCTGGTAGAGCAACATGATATGCCAGAAAAAACATCACCCTTACCTTTAAGACAACCTTCTAAAAAGAGATGGCTGGGAAGAAGACCTGTACATAAGCCACAAGAGCCATCTGGTGTGTAAATATTTTCAACTGAACTTGATTATATAATGTATTTTATAGTTTTTTATAGGGTGGTATATTTATGTACGTGGGTTTCCAATATATTACTGACTTTTTACTTAGTATATTTGTCTCGTTGCCATATTAGTTTATCCATTCTGGAGCAAGGTTACAATCATGAATGAAGACGAAATTGCAGTCGCAGAAGGGGTGATTGTACCTGGTAGCAACACGGAAGACAGTTATGTCAGCAATAGCTTCCGTCGTAAGATTTATGTTACGAAAGTTTCAGGTATGAAGCGTTAATAATGAGTGGAGAAATCTTTAGAACAAACAGTATAACTCTATAAGTTACCGTTAGGCAGAGTTATATAGGTGAAAGAATAGTATAGGCGAGTTTACCTAGAAATCAGTCCCTTTTTTGCAGTTAAACAGGAGTGATCCCATGGTTAGGTTAATTTCAATTGATACCTTGAATCAGACAACAAATACATATTAACTGATTAAATAGATAACGTCAGCAGTGGTGAGTTTAAAGAGGGCGTATATACCATACAACCATTCAGTCGCTTAAAACCAGAGACTGGCGTCTCAGAGGGCGTTGGGGGCTTGGTGGGCCTCGAAATTCAACGAAATGGAAGACAGTTAAAGTTGGACAGTGATCAGGAAGAGATATGTGGTGCGAAGGCCTGCCAAGTTCCCCAGGCCCATAATTCGTCTCTGCCAAGTTCAAAGGTTCCCTGGGTTCAGTGTGATTCAGCGCTCTGCAAGAAGTGGTACCACTTGCAGTGTGTGGGTCTCGAAAAAGACACGGAGTTGCCCAGCAAATGGTTTTGTGGATGTTCCGAGCTAAGAGAGAAAACTGTGAGGTAAAATCAATGGTTATGCTCTAGAAATGTAAATCTTTTACAACTGATTTATTTTGCAGAATATCAACCTTTCTTTAAGATAAAAATCTCTAAAATTGCACATGTACAAAGGGAAATTAAATTTACGGCGTATATTTTGTTAAATATCATTTAAGTACAACGAACAGTCTTTGTATAATACTTCCGTTAATAACTTTTCTATTAAATACTTTTTTAGAAGTGGGAAAACGCAGTATCTACAGCTTGGCGATATGCTTTCGGTTATTCCAGAAGTTGAGGTTTGTATGAATTTCAATGGAATAAAAATTTGTTCACATATGTTTATATGTTTCAACTACCAATTGTAGAAATTATATGATATTTCTATATATGATCTGAGCTTTCTAATCCTTTTTAATCCTGTTTTTTAATCTTCTAAACATATCCACCTATTAATTGCTAGAAACATTTGCGAGATGTTGTAAATGAAAAAGTCGCCAGCGTTCGTCACGTTGTATGGACAAAATATGATATACGAGAGAGACAGTTTATGGACAAACACTTGTTTTGTGGATTTGAAATTCCTTTCACTGAAGATTTGGTAAGAAAACGTCGTAAAATATTTTGCCGCTATATTTCTTTATCTTTAAGCGCGGTTGCACGGTATATACCAATAACAAAATGAAATATTTCATGAATTTCCTCTTCTTAAATATTGCTAGTTCGATGACTTTTGCGACATTATCATGGGACTATTTCTGTCACCTGACAACGTCTGGAATGATGAAAGAACCGCGAGAATTGATTACTGTCAAGCAGTGCTTTTTCCCGAGGTAAGTTCATTATTGTATTTGTAGCTATATAGCACATTGACTATAAATTAATCAATTTGTGCTTGAATTTTTTCCATATTCCTAGGCGTTTGTTAAGTTCGTGATGGTAGTTGAGGGCCTACAACGACATAACGTGGAAGAATCGTTATTTAATTGGACAGAAAATATGCCAACACTACTCGCAAAATTCTATAAAAGATAACTTTGTTCTGGGGCATGAATTTTTATTTTACTGTGTTTTGACAAAATATCATTAACTATAGTAGAAATTAATGACATATTATCCAGAAAAACTTACTATTAAAATTACGTACCAATCCTGTTGATATAACAGCTACAGATATTAGAATCACGTGGTAATCTGTTATTATAACAATTCCTGAGATTGGAATTACATGCCAATCCCCATATTATAACAACTGCTGAGATCAGAATCACGTACCAATCCTGTTGTTATAACAAATGTTGAGATTGGAATTACATGCCAATCCTGCTATTATAAGAACTAATGAGATTAGAATCACGTACCAATCCTGTTGGTATAACAAATCTTGAGATTGGAATTACATGCCAATCCTGCTATTATAAGAACTAATGAGATTAGAATCACGTACCAATCCTGTTGGTTAAACAAATCTTGAGATTGGAATTACATGCCAATCCTGCTATTATAAGAACTAATGAGATTAGAATCACGTACCAATCCTATTGGTATAACAAATCTTGAGATTGGAATTACATGCCAATTCTTCTATTATAAGAACTAATGAGATTAGAGTGACGTACCAATCCTGTTGGTATAACAAATCTTCAGATTGGAATTACATGCCAATCCTGCTATTATAAGAACTAATGAGATTAGAATCACGTACCAATCCTGTTGGTATAACAAATCTTGAGATTGGAATTACATGCCAATCCTGCTATTATAAGAACTAATGAGATTAGAATCACGTACCAATCCTGTTGGTATAACAAATCTTCAGATTGGAATTACATGCCAATTCTGCTATTATAAGAACTAATGAGATTAGAGTCACGTACCAGTCCTGTTGGTATAACAAATCTTGAGATTGGAATTACATGCCAATTCTGCTATTATAAGAACTAATGAGATTAGAATCACGTACCAATCCTGTTGGTATAACAAATCTTCAGATTGGAATTACATGCCAATTCTTCTATTATAAGAACTAATGAGATTAGAGTCACGTACCAATCCTGTTGTTATAACAAATGTTGAGATTGGAATTACATGCCAATCCTGCTATTATAAGAACTAATGAGATTAGAATCACGTACCAATCCTGTTGGTATAACAAATCTTGAGATTGGAATTACATGCCAATTCTGCTATTATAAGAACTAATGAAATTAGAATCACGTACCAATCCTGTTGTTATAACAAATGTTGAGATTGGAATTACATGCCAATCCTGCTATTATAAGAACTAATGTGATTAGAATCACGTACCAAAACCTGTTGTTATAACAAATGTTGAGATTGGAATTACATGCCAATCCTGCTATTATAAGAACTAATGTGATTAGAATCACGTACCAATCCTGTTGGTATAACAAATGTTGAGATTGGAATTACATGCCAATCCTGCTATTATAAGAACTAATGAGATTAGAATCACGCACCAATCCTGTTGGTATAACAAATCTTGAGATTGGAATTACATGCCAATTCTGCTATTATAAGAACTAATGAGATTAGAATCACGTACCAATCCTATTGGTATAACAAATCTTCAGATTGGAATTACATGCCAATTCTGCTATTATAAGAACTAATGAGATTAGAATCACGTACCAATCCTGTTGCTATAACAAATCTTGAGATTGGAATTACATGCCAATTCTGCTATTATAAGAACTAATGAGATTAGAGTCACGTACCAGTCCTGTTGGTATAACAAATCTTGAGATTGGAATTACATGCCAATCCTGCTATTATAAGAACTAATGAGATTAGAATCACGTACCAATCCTATTGGTATAACAAATCTTGAGATTGGAATTACATGCCAATCCTGCTATTATAAGAACTAATGAGATTAGAGTCACGTACCAATCCTGTTGTTATAACAAATGTTGAGATTGGAATTACATGCCAATCCTGCTATTATAAGAACTAATGAGGTTAGAATCACGTACCAATCCTGTTGGTATAACAAATGTTGAGATTGGAATTACATGCCAATCCTGCTATTATAAGAACTAATGAGATTAGAATCACGTACCAATCCTGTTGGTATAACAAATCTTCAGATTGGAATTACATGCCAATTCTGCTATTATAAGAACTAATGAGATTAGAGTCACGTACCAGTCCTGTTGGTATAACAAATCTTGAGATTGGAATTACATGCCAATCCTGCTATTATAAGAACTAATGAGATTAGAGTCACGTACCAGTCCTGTTGGTATAACAAATCTTCAGATTGGAATTACATGCCAATTCTTCTATTATAAGAACTAATGAGATTAGAGTCACGTACCAATCCTGTTGTTATAACAAATGTTGAGATTGGAATTACATGCCAATCCTGCTATTATAAGAACTAATGAGATTAGAATCACGTACCAATCCTGTTGGTATAAAAATGTTGAGATTGGAATTACATGCCAATCCTGCTATTATAAGAACTAATGAGATTAGAATCACGCACCAATCCTGTTGGTATAACAAATCTTGAGATTGGAATTACATGCCAATTCTGCTATTATAAGAACTAATGAAATTAGAATCACGTACCAATCCTGTTGTTATAACAAATGTTGAGATTGGAATTACATGCCAATCCTGCTATTATAAGAACTAATGTGATTCGAATCACGTACCAATCCTGTTGGTATAACAAATGTTGAGATTGGAATTACATGCCAATCCTGCTATTATAAGAACTAATGAGATTAGAATCACGCACCAATCCTGTTGGTATAACAAATCTTGAGATTGGAATTACATGCCAATTCTGCTATTATAAGAACTAATGAGATTAGAATCACGTACCAATCCTGTTGCTATAACAAATCTTGAGATTGGAATTACATGCCAATTCTGCTATTATAAGAACTAATGAGATTAGAGTCACGTACCAGTCCTGTTGGTATAACAAATCTTGAGATTGGAATTACATGCCAATCCTGCTATTATAAGAACTAATGAGATTAGAATCACGTACCAATCCTATTGGTATAACAAATCTTGAGATTGGAATTACATGCCAATCCTGCTATTATAAGAACTAATGAGATTAGAGTCACGTACCAATCCTGTTGTTATAACAAATGTTGAGATTGGAATTACATGCCAATCCTGCTATTATAAGAACTAATGAGGTTAGAATCACGTACCAATCCTGTTGGTATAACAAATGTTGAGATTGGAATTACATGCCAATCCTGCTATTATAAGAACTAATGAGATTAGAATCACGTACCAATCCTGTTGGTATAACAAATCTTGAGATTGGAATTACATGCCAATCCTGCTATTATAAGAACTAATGAGATTAGAATCACGTACCAATCCTGTTGGTATAACAAATCTTGAGATTGGAATTACATGCCAATTCTGCTATTATAAGAACTAATGAGATTAGAGTCACGTACC